TGTTTGATTTTCCGCGTGGCTAAGAAAGCAGTGTAATGCCGATGGATTTTTAGCATCGAATCTAAATCTGATTGATCCTTTGAATGCAAACGGTTGGTTGTCAAAGGGTACTCACAGACCTACAGAGTTGACTACGAGGAGACATTTGCTATAGTGACTAAATTAAACACCATTATGGTTCTCTTATCCCTGACAGTGAATCTAGATTGGCCCTTATTTCAACTTGATGTTAAAAATGCATTCTTGAATGGTGATCTTATAGAAGAGGTTTACATGGCTCTTCCTCCAGGCTTTGACTCCACTACCTTCCAGAGGGAAGTATGTAGACTGTGAAAGCCCCTCTATAGATTGAAGCAATCACCATGAGCGTAGTTCGGGAAGTTCACAAATGTGGTGGTAGGCCATGGATTCACTCAGGCTCAATCAGATCACACACTCTTCTTCCGACATTCCTCTAGCAACCAAGTAGTTATCCTTATTGTTTATGTCGATGATATTGTTCACACAGTGAATGACCTAGTAGGATTGAAATCTTTAAAAGGCATTCTTGTTGCCTCCTTTGAGATGAAGAGCTTTCTCCGCTATTTCTTAGGCATGGAAGTTGTTCGGTCATCTCAGGGCATTTGTCTGTCTCAGTGAAAATATGTCATTGAAGTTTTGATAGAGAACAATCTTCTTTTGTGCAGCCCAATAGCTGTCCAGATAGATCCAAATGAAAAGCTTCTTGATATTCCTAATGCAATTTTTGTAAACAAGATTCGCCACCAGCTCCTTGTAAAAAAACTCACATACCTCGCCCATACATGCCCTGACATATGCCACAATTGGAATAGTAAGTCAATTCATACATAACCCCTATGAGCACCATCTCCAAGTTGTCCACTAGATTCTCCGCAATTTAAAAGACACACAGGGCTCAAGTTTGTATTTTTCCCGCCACACCTCTCACAATATTGTTGTTTTCATTGATTGGGTCGGTAACACACACCATCGAATTCCTAATGCCCTTGAGGTATTGCTCATTTGTGTGCAAAAATCTGGTCACGTGGAAAGCAAAAAGCAGTCCGTGGTTGCCCGAAGCAAAATTTTGATCCACGTCACTAGGAATTTGTGAGGCTCTCTAATTACGTATCATGCTTCGAGAATTGCGTATGTCAGTTTTTGTTCCCCTATAGTTGTTTTGTGATAATAAGATAGTCATTAGCATTGCTCACAATCAAATATAGCATGATCGCACCAAACACGTTGAGATTAACTGACACTTCATCAAGGAAAAACTCAATTTCGAGAAATTTACGTTTTGTTTATATCATCCAGTAGCCAACTGACGGATATCCTCACAAAAAACCTTCATCGGCAATTATTCGATGATTTCAAGTCCAAGTTGAACATGGCTGACATCTATGCTTCAACCTGAGCGGGGGTATTATAATATTTTAATGGCTATGAGTAGCCCTTATTTAATTCTGATTATTCTACGTTATCTCTGATTTCCATCCTTTTTCTATTAAGTTCAGTTTTATTTCTTTCCCTTCTATTATATCATGAGTTTATATTTTTTTTTTCTTTCTAGTTGATCCTAAAATGGGTATATATACCCCTCTTTGTATCAATAAGAATTATCCTGATTCTATTCTAACAAAAAGTATCATCAACTTCTATTTGAGAATATTATTGTATTGAATCATCAAATTACATCACAAAAAAATTAAATGATATGAATTTTTGCATTATTGTTATTTAAAGAGTACTTTTGAATACTACATGGTTGAATTTAAAGTAGCATCCACTTCTATTTGAGAATAATTTGTACAGGTTCATCAAATCAAATCACAAAAAATTTTAAATGATATGAATTTTTGCATTAATGTTAGTTAAAGAGTACTTCTGAATAATACATGGATCGCCTTCTTACTCCCTCCCTCCGTCCCTCCCTTTCCCACCTGGTCTCTGCTATCAAAGATATAACCTTTTCATATCACCGTGGACTGTCATCTTCCACCCACT